CTGTCTTGATTAGAGATGCCAACTGGATCAGGTAGCTGAGAGCCAAAAAGCATAAAACTTAGCCTTAAACTTGCCATTTGGTTTGGTTTTCTCATCCTAAAACGATACTGCAAAGATTCGTTTCATTTACATTTTTGTCTTTAAACATTCTCAACTCCAGAAATATTGAGATTTATAATTACAGTGAATTTATAATATTATACTGCATACAAATGAATTAAATAAAATTACACATTAAACGGCTGCACACTGGTCTCAAATGTTTCCACCCATCTACTGCCCAAGTCTGCGAAGTCTCTGCATTGCTCTCATGCAGAGTTAGAAAATGGCCCACTACACGAAAGCTAAGATTAACTACTTAGAGCTCACACACACAAAGAAGCTATTTTTAAATTGATCTATTGATGTCTGCAAGAAAGAATCATAGGACAGAATTGTTTCCATTCAGAGCATTTTATCAAACCAAAGCTGGATATAAAAGAGTCATGGATTTATATCTAAAATATTAAATATGTGAACTAACATTTATTAAAATTTACTTTCAGATTTAAGAGCATTTAAATCATCCTTAATATAGACATACTTCACACATACCAGGCATAACTTACTCGTTCAAATTTGTTTACACAGCTGTAAAATCTCCAAATTAACTATCAACCAGGAAAAGTAAAAAATATTGCTATGAAAATGAGGAGATAAGATTAAAGTTGCTAGAAAAAAAACTACAGAGAGCTTCCTGTGGCATGGCTTTGGATGGGATCAAGTTTGTTGTCAATTTTTTAAAAGTAATTCTGTTTCAACATCTCCCCATGTACAGTTTCACTAATTCAGAGAATGTATTGACTAATGCATCTATTTTCGCCACCATTTTTTTGGAACTTCAAAATGCCAAAATGAGAAATAATTCTATACAAACCATATATGAACTCATGAGTATAAACACATGTAAAAGCAGACTTAATATTGTAACCTCCAGACTATTTAAACTCAATTTTAAAGCCTCATTTTTTCTCATGGGAAATATTCACTGTAATCCTAATTACCTGGGTTGTAGTAAATCCATTATTGTTTAAATTTGTATTTAGATTTAATAATATCAACATGCTTACAATCTCATAACATTTTTTTTTGTTTGTTTCTAGACCAAAAATGAACTGAAAATCTTGAGTTCAACAGAAGTATATTTATGAACAATAGTAGCCATGAAGATACACATACTAACGTTTTGGCTTTTCATCTTTTAAAATTTTACTATAAAAGGCAGAAAAGAAAATGTAGTGATCTTTGCACTTTTCATATGGTAAGGCACAAGTTATTATTGATTTAAGCTGCATATTACTGGCAGTCAGTTGTGAATATATAAATGCTGCTAAGAACACAGAAGGCAATTCAGTCAAGAGCAACTATGTCAACTTTTACTTCAGATCAAATTTGATGTATTGAGCAGTGAAAGTGAGGTCATAACTGGTATTTTTTTTTCAACTTTTATTTTAGGTTCAGAGGGGAGACATGTGCAGGATTGTTACATGGGTAAATTGCACCTTGTTGAGGTTGGGTATACAAATGATTTCATCACCCAGATAGTGAGCATAGAACCCAATAGGTAGTTTTTTGACCTTCACCCTCTTCCCGCCCTTCCTGCTCAAGTAGGCCCCAGTGTCTTTTGTTCTCCTCTTTGTGTCTATATGTATTCAGTATTTGGCTCCCACTTACACGTGAGACCATGTGGTGTTTGGTTCTGTTGCTGCATTAACTTGCTTAAGATAATGGCCTTCAGCTGCCTCCATGTTTCTGCAAAGGACATGATTTTGGTTTCTTATGGCTGCATGGTATTCGTGGTATACAGGGACCATATTTTCTTTATCCAGTCCACCATTGATGAGCATCTAGGTTGATTTCATGTCTTTGCTATAGTGAATAGTGCTGCTATGAACACACAGGTGCATGTGACTTTTTGGTGAGATGACAATAAGTATTTTTAAACCTGCACTTCTTCAAGTAACACATTTAAGGTTTTATACTAAAACCTTTATCACAATCTGAAAAAAAATTTAGCTTCATATTCAGTCAAACAAAATTGCCTAGGTTCACAGAACTATTTCAAGTTTAATAACTTGCTGCAGTTCTACTACTAACTGAAAAATATTCTTTTGTTTCTTTATGTTTTATAGTTTTATTATAAAAATTATAATATTGAAATAAATGTTTAAAAGGAAAGTAGTTACATAACTTTTGATCCGTAAACATCCTCAACATTACATATTATCATGGAGATTGGGGCAAATGTATACATATCTGCACATAGCAGCTCTCATGCTAAATACAAACATTTATAAAGCATTTATTTTCTCCCTTCCAAGTACTAACCAGGCCCGACCTTGCTTAGTTCCCGAGATCACATGAGATCGGGCATGTTCAGGGTGGTATGGCCATAGACGATAAAATATTTATTTTCTTATAGTTAATCGAAAATTCTTATAAGGGTCTCTTATCTTTCACATAGGAAAAAGAGATTTTATCAAGAGCCCCATTTTGTGCAATGCTCTATGGAAGGTATGCATGCCTAAGTATTAATCCTGTTTCACGGATAAGGAAACTATGGCTCAGACATGTCCAATGAATAAATAAAACTAGAACCCAAGCAAAATGCACTTAATGTCAAAGCCTTTGACCTATAGCCTAATGCTTTAGGGTTATCTTACATTTGAGTCTTACAATTAGAAATCTATTTGGGAATCTTTGCTTCTGTTTTAAAAAAGCAAAGACTTACAAACAAAGCAAAACCAGAAAACCGCACAATGGCTTTAATAGAGTTGGTTAATCTTTATTACTCTGGAGGATTCAAGGATTCTTAACACTGAGGTACTGGGCTCTCCATCCTCAAAAACAAGCAATACGGGTTTCAGGAACCTCGTAATGTGAAGGTAATGCTTTCAAGTGTCTGGGCACCACAGCTTATTTCCCTCTGTTCATTGCTTTACAGTAAACCTTCTATACAAATTGTCCTCTTATTGGCATTATATTTTCTCATCAGTAGCTGATGTAGAGGCCGGTTACATCACGATGGAAATGAGAGCAGAAGAAAAATTGGTGTCCTAACATTAAGCTTGACACAAAGCATTTTCATAAAGTCTCCTCACTCCTGGGCTACCCATAATGAACCAAAATGAGACAGCATTAAACTTGCAAAGTTGCCTGTATCAACTTCATGATTGGTCATTTACAAGCCAATCTTGTACAAATTACTTAGAGTCTTCAACCATCCAATCAAGGAGAAAATTAAAAGAAATTCATGGTTACCAAACTTTGCTGCGCATTAGAATCACCTGGGGTGCTTTTTAAAAATTCCAGTGCCCAGGTTTCACCCTATGGGATTAAATCAGAATGTTAAGGCATGCGATCCAGGTCTCAGTATTATTTTATTTTATTCTTATTTTTGAGAAAGGGTCTCACTCTGTCTTCCAGGCTGGAGTGCAGTGTTGTGATCTCGGCTCACTGCAACTTCAACCCCCTGGACTCAAGTGAATCTGACATCTCAGCTTCCCAAATAGCTGGGGCTACAGGAACCCACCACCATTCCCTGCTAATTTTTTTGTGTTTTTCTTACAGATGGTGTTTCATCATGTTGCCTAGGTTGATCTTGAACTCCTGAGCTCAAGCAATCTGCCTGCCCCCACAAACTGCTGAGATTACAGTCATGAGCCATCACATCCAGCCCAGCTCTCAGCATTTTTCTTAAAGATGCTCAGGTAATTCCAATGTGCAGCAAAGTTTGGGAGCCACTTAATTAATTAATACCTTCACAGAGCTGCTTTTAAGATTTAAAAAAATAGAGGAAGGTTTTGTATATTATACAATACAGAGTAATATAAAATATCTAAAAAATAAATTCAGTGGCAATACACACATACACGCACACACACACAAACACACACACCCCTTTTATTTTTTCTCTTAGAGTTGCAGAAAAGGCTTAACAGTTGCTTTCTGTAGTAAGTTGTCTTCAACATTTTTATTTTTATTTTATTTTATTTTTTTTAGATAGAGTCTTATTCTGTCACCCAGGCTGGAGTGCAATGGTGTGATCTCTACTCACCACAACCTCTACTTCCTGGGTTCAAGCAATTCTCTTGCCTCAGCCTCCTGCATCACTGGGATTATAGACATGTGTCATGGTGCTGGGCTAAATTGTTTTAATTTATTTTTTATGTATTTATTTATTTATTTTAGTAGAGATGGGTTTTGGCCAGGTTTGCCAGACTGGTCTCAAACTCCTGATCTCACGTGATCTGCCCACCTCAGCCTCCCAAAGCAAAGTACTGGGATTACATGCATGAGCCACCATGCCTAGTCAACATTATTTTAATATTTTTTTATATCTATTTTCATTCTCTATTAAAAATTAAGTACAATCTCTCTTGTTTTCTTCAAAAAAGTCAAACACCATACTTTCATCAAGTGTTTATAATCACTAGAAAAGAATATTAGAATTAATGTGGAGAAAAGAAATCTGAGTAGTTAGAAATAAAATATATAATTTGTCCAAATTTACTTAGTTCAATGGTACTATTATTTAGAATAAACAAAAAATTACAGTCCAGAAATTTTGATCTAGTATTCTGCCATAATATTTTTGAAAACAAAGATCTATTCAGTAAATCTTTCTTGGCTAGATTTGTGCATTGCCTAATGACACAATTATTTCTCTGCTAAGTTTTTAGTCAATACTTTAGATTCATTGAGTTTATATACAACACTCTTTTAATACCATCATTTTTCATAAGCTTTTATTTAATTAGATTCACCAAAAGGATTATGCAATTTATGTAATTAGACTGCAAATAACACGTTACTTAATTAAAAAGAACCCTTTGTACTTTGTTGTTAGTATAGACCTTGATGCATCTGTTCACAATAAATTTTTTAATTACACACAATTTATAAGTAATTATAAATGTAATCTACCACCTAAGAGTGATTTTTGCATTGGGATCTTTTACCTTTGTGGGCTTGTTAACATCCATGCTCTCCTTGAATTTCTCCTGCACAGTTTCTGCAAGTTGACAGAGCAAGGCACCATTGTCCAACTTCTCCATAAAAGTTTCGGCTGTAATCTCCTTCCCTGAAATGACAAAAAGAAGCATTATAAAAAGAAAATCAAAATGTCAGATTCACACTAAATAAAATATTTGACACAATCTTATTACTAAAATTGCTATTCTAGCTGAGTTACGTATCTGGGATAGGAGCTTACCAGAAATAGTCATTTCTTTGGAATTTTCTATCTTCTGTTGGTTGCAAGAATTTCAGCATTTAATATTTTCATAACATAGTGCTAACTGCATAAAAGTTTTGTTTCATATTAAAGGTGGCAAAATGATATCCTGGGTAAAAGAATTCCATCATTTAGTAATCAGGGGGAATGAAAACTAACCAACAAAACTCAAAGAACCAGCTTTACCAGTGATTTCACAATTTGGCCTCCATTAATCATTCCATTCTCATCCTCAATGGCCCATTCAATTACTTTGACCCATAAGGCAGGACATAATGCAGAACAAGTATTTTTTGTTAGGTGTACGTCTGACTACAAGAACAACATAGGTCTCTCTCTCTCTCAACAGGATTGTACTCTATTACCCAATCTGGAGTGCAGTGGCAGGATCATAGCTCACTGCAGTTTCAAACTCCGGGGGCTCAAACAATCCTCCAGCCTCAGCCTCCAAAAGTACTGGGATTATAGTCATGTAATCTGGGGTGCACTCAGCCAGATCAATTTTCTTTAATTTAAAATAGAGCCATATATATATATATTTAAAAACCACCATTGGGAACTTTAATAACATGGCCAATATATAAAACCATATCTCTAGATTCCATTGAAATGGTTTTCCTGATTAAAATAATACAGGTAGGCTGGGCACAGTAGCTCAGGCCTGTAATCCCAGAATTTTGGAAGGACAAGGTAGGTGGATCACTTGAGCTCATGAGTTACAGACCAGCCATGGGGCAACATGGTGAAACCCCATTTCTACAAAAACACAAAAATTAGCCAGGCATGGTGGTGCATGCCTGCAGTCCCAGCTACTTGGGAGGCTGAGGTAGGAGGATGGCTTGGGTCTGGGAGGCAGACGCTGCAGTGAGCTGAGATCCTGCTACCGCACTGCTTTCTTATATATTCTTTCAAAATGTATCTTTCTCAAAGCCCTCTCCTTTTTTGTTTCCTATTAATCTAAGTTTCAGAATATTCCATTTTCCTGCCTTATGTTTCTGTAAATTATTAGTCAGAAGTCCTACAGATTCAAGCTTCCTTCTATTTCTCATGCCATAACCTTAATAAAAATCTTCATAATGTGATACTTAAACCTCTAGCAACAAGAACAATGGCTATTCTTTCTGTCCTCAACTTCTCTCTCCAATACATACCATGCTCACTGCTAAAATTAAGATTGCTAAACACCGTCCTCACTGAGGCGTTCTCCAGACACCTTTATTGCACAATCCCTAATTTTCTCCTTTACCTGGAATATGAAAACTACTTACATTATTTATAATATTTACTTTCTGTAAATTTGTGAAATAATTTTCTTATTATTTGAAAATGCGGCCTGGCATGGTGGCTCATGCCTATAATCCCAGCATTTTGGGAGGCCAAGGTGGGCAGATCACTTAAGATCAGGAGTTCAAGACCAACCTGGCTAACTAGGTGAAACCCTGCCTCTACTAAAAATACAAAAATTAGCCAGGTATGGTGGCGCACGCCTGTAATCCCAGCTACTTGGGAGGATGAGGCAGGAGAATGGCTTGAATCTGGGAGACGGAAGTTGTAGTGAGCAGAGGTCACACCACTGCACCCCAGCCTGGGCGATAGAGTGAGACTCTGTCTCATGAATAAATAAATAAATAAAATCCGGCTGGAACAACAGATGAACCATTTACCATTTAAGTTAAACTCACAGTATCTAATATATTTGGATTTCAAGAAACATCTGCTTAAAATGACTTTTTTTTTTTCCATTTTGGGGGGCAGTCTTAGGGACAAAGAATTACTTTTTAAACAAATGTTCTTTTTCCCCTACTGGGTAGTTCATATTTTGACCCCCAATTAGAATAATGACTTCTGCAGGTGGAAAAACATCAGTAGCTTTAAATACTCACCACACAGGTAGCCTGAGCAGAACTTTTATTTCAAAACTGTGTGCAGCTCAGTTCAGAAATGAAAGTAGCATGCCAAAATACAAAAAGCCAGCATAACAGAATTTGTATTGTGTATTCATCATATTGGCCTTCATTTTCCTTTTCTTTTTTTTTTTTTTTTTTTTTTTTTCCAACAGAAAGTGACTAGCCACAGACCGGAGTGCAGTGGCGCAATCTCGGCTTTATTGCCAAGATCTATTGCCAGGCTTGAGTGCAGTGGCATGATCTCGGCTCACTGCAACCTCTGCCTCCCAAGTAGCTGGGACTACAGGCATATGCCACCATGCCCAGCTAATGTTTGTATTTTTAGTAGAGACAGGGTTTCACCATGTTGGCCCTGATGGTCTCGATTTCTTGACCTAGTGATCCGCCCACGTCAGCCTCCCAAAGTGCTGGGATTACAGGCATGAGCTGCCACGCCAGGCTGCATTTTTTAATAATAACAAAATTATTTCACAAAATTACAGAAAGTAAATATTAGAAATAATTTTCTTAATTATAGTGTTATTCAAATAAATTTAAATTTTAAGATAAAGAAGATAAAATTTAAATTGTTGAATTATTTCTTTATAAACTACTTGCAAGATTTTCCACTTTTAATAGATCTTTATGTATTTTTATTTCATTAAGTTCTATGGCAGTTTGAAGATTCCATTCATAATTTTAAGTTATAAGATGTTTACAATATACTGAAAAGAACACGTAAATCATAAAAAGAAAAAAATAGCTTTCATTAAAAAGCCACTAACAGTTTACCAAAAGGTATGATTTTTACTTTTTATGCATTATATCTTTTTAGTTATCCTGTTTTTCATGAATACTTGTAAAAAGAATTTTACATTGAACATCTGTATCTAATGAAAAATATATTAGGTGTCAGCTTTCAATTCTGTATATTTTATAGCTCTGAAAGGTGAGTTTTTTTTGGCTAAAACAGACTATTACATACTTTATAGTTGAAATGTACTGCCTCAAATGAAGAAAAAATATAAGTCTGAGACTTTTATAAATAACTTCATGTGTAACATACTTTCCTTCCAATGATTAAAAATTATTAAATATATACTTTATGATTACAATCACTGTGTGATTGTAAGAAATCAGTCATAATCTTTATATGGGGATGATATATTATCTAGTTCTTTATTGCATTAATATTAATAATATCAACAGTATTTTTTTCAAAAAACAATACAATATAAAAGTAGTTGAATTTATCTATGGCAAATTCTTAAGAACAGGCTATGTAGAAATAATTACAATTTCTCAAGTAAAAGTCATACATAGGTAAATATCTCTGTTAAACAGAATCAGATCTTCTGTAATTTAAATTGTGCCCCTGGTTTAACACATCAGACTACACGTACTGGAAACAGTGTGATTTTAGCACCAGAAAATCATTTCTTCCCTAACCCTAGCATTTCATTGTGGTTGGTGTTTGCAGGGAAAGAAAGAACAATAAATAGATACAATTAAAGCATGTTAAAGTCCTGACCAGTGCTGGTCCATAAAGCCATTGGTTTGAACATTAATCTAGTGTATCCTAGTCTAGAAGTAATAGTTTTGTTTCCTGAATTTATAATTGTGATATTTAATCTTCACATGATTAATTTAGTCAAGAATGACAACTTGCCAGTAGATCAAAATCAGGAAATTTGATTAAATATTGTGGCTAGTCGCTTTCTGTTAAAACATTATAGCTCAAAGGTGGGATATAAACATCTGCCTGAAATCTTTTGCCAGGCAACTATAATCAACATGCACACACATACACATCAGTGTATTCCTCCCAGAAATATGTTTGCCATAACTTTTGTAAAGATTTACATATCAGTCTATAAAGTGTTTTAGACTGGGGCCACCTGGAAAAAAATAATCCTTTTAATCTTCTAAGTTGCTGAGAAAGAATGTTTTCTTCCCAATAAATTAGCAGTATTAAATTTCTAAAGAATTCTAATAATAATATTTAACAGTTGAGTTATTATTATATGTCAAGTACTGTTCTAAGCATTTTACATGAATTAATGCATTTAATCTTCTCAAGAAAACTGTGAAGTGGGTGCTACTATATATCCATTTTACAGATACAGATGTATAGATTAAGTAACCTGCCTCAGGTCACCTAATTCGCGGGCAGAGGAACTTGGCTCTTTGGCAATTTAGGTTCAGAGTTTATGCTTTTAGCCACTATGCTTGAGTACTTAAATATTTGCTGAATACACAAATGACTATTTTCCATGACTATGAATTATCCCTCTTGCAGTTGTCTTTTTCTATGTAGAAACACCACAGAAACCTCTTTAGGAAAAAAAGAGAAAAAAAATAAAAGCTTGGGGTTGAAGATTGTGGTGCTGAAAAATGAATAGCAATCCACCTTGTAGGTTGGAGAATGGCTAACAATATCATTCAGGCAAGTTCTGGTACTTGGCATGATTCACTGAAGAAGAAAGTTGGTATATTTTTAATCCCTAAAGATGATCCAGATACTATCAAATTCTATTTTCATCCCCACTGTACCTCTCAATACAAATATATTTTTCTAACTGGAGAATTCAAAGTGGTTCATATGCTGTCTACAGTTTCAAGGTTGTAAGATAGGAAACAGTTCATTATACGCAAAATCCCTAGACCAGCACCTGCTTCACACTAATTTTCAAGTGTCTACCCTGAATTTACATCAAAAAATATAAAGCTGGTTCTGCTGCACAAATCACATACAAAATTAGGATAACTGCTCTGAAAGGTGTCAACTTGTGAACATGAAGGTGATTCTGTAAGCTTTTGAACTAACACAAGATACCACCCATCCTACGGAATTTTTGTTGGCTATACCAAGAATATGAGAACCCTGCAGAATAAGTATCTGGCAAAAGGGCCACAAGAAAAAAGAAAAGCAAGCTGTTCCAAACTCATTAGATAGTAGCT